CCAAGTCGAGCTTTAATATTATTCGTTTTGTATTTTAAGTTATAATGTATGAGATGAGTTTATATAGATATTTAGATGAAATATTACAAAATTGACCCGAGCGTCCATCCCAGAGAAACCGAAGCCGCCACAGTCAACCGCCATTGTTTGCCGGCCACCGCTCGTGTCTCTGCCGCCCACCAGCGCCCACATCTCTGCCGTCATCTGTCGGACACCACCGGCCGCCGACATCCCATGGATGCTCTACCATAGCAGTCGATCCAATTAGGGTTTTCTTTTGCTGTTGTTGAAGGCTACGTTTTAATTTCTTGGGAATATGTCTTGAAAAAAACGCAAGCCCTAGAGCTCCTTCGACAACTCAGAGCTCCTTGATCTTTGCCGAGTTTTCTTCCACATTTAGGTGAGTTCATGTTCAATCTGTTCGGCCATTTCCTTTCTTTCTTACTGTAATTGCATTTTTAGGTTAAGGATTTCGCGAGTTCATGGCTGGGATGATGTTCGAAACTTTTTTTCTGGTTAGTGTCGGATTTGTTAGTGATATTTTGATTTCTGAGTTGTGCATTTTTTAATTGAATCGGTTTCAAACTTGAATGTCTCTGTCTTCGGAGATTTCTTCAATTCCTGTTCATAGTTTTTCTTCCACTGTTTTAAGCCTAAGGAGGAAGTTCATTACCAATCAATGCAATAAATAATAGCTTTAGGAGGAAGAACAAAACCCCGGCCATTATGTATTCCTCATTTTCCTCCATAACTTTTTTATTTCGCGATTCCTAATTTACCCTTCTCCTTCATCTAATATTATCGGTTACTTCTTGGGGGTGGTTAGTTCTGACGCTTCATCTTCTTCTTTTATAATATTTGTTTCCCTTTACGATTTTTTTGGCTTCTTCATTCAAATAATGGGACAATGTCGGGGTATCACTATTGTGTTTGGTAATTCCATTAATTTCTACTTTCTTTCTGCTCTGTTTAGATTTTCAATGTGGGGTTTCTTTACTTTATTAAAATGGATGGGGACATTTGAGCATTTGAGACATTTCTTGATTTTTCTTTGTTTCTTTGTTTCTTTCTCTTTTTTGTTGTTTTTTGGTTTGTTTGAAATATCTGCAACTTTTGAAATGTGATACAGTATCAGATAATGAGGAAATTAAATAGGGAGGGATCAGATAATGAGGAAATTAAATAGGGAGGGAGGATAAGGAGAAGAATAAGAAGAAAGAGTACTTTTTTGCTTTGTCAACATGGAGGAGACATTTTGTTTAATATCCATTTGATATCTTTGGAATGTTAGGCAAAGGTCAATAGCTTGTAGTAGGCTTGAAACTTACCCAGTGAGAGAGATTTATTGCAAGGGCCTAAAAGGGGAAGCTATTTTTATCACCTTTTCTTTTTGTTTCTCTAGCCTTTGTAGATAAAAGGTCTGACTTTGTGTGTAGTTCTTTGGGTTCTCATTTTCCCTTTGTTCTCTCTTGAGAGGAATTCATGGCTGTGGTAGATTTGTTTGTATCATTTGTTTTTTGGGTCTTTGAACCTTTACCTTATTACTGGAAGTTGCGAGTCAGCTAGTTGTAGTGTTTCTTGTTATTTCATCTTTGCATAATATTATGAAATAAGGGTGGGGAGAGAGTGGGATTGGAATATTCAGCCAACTTTCAATCTCCTAAAGAAGGAAGAAAAAGAAAAAGATACAAAACATCCCATGTCTGTAAGAATTAAGAATGATCTGGGTTTGGAATATTCAGCTAGTTGCAGTGAGTAAGTATGAGCTTCATCCGTGTGGTTAGGTTCAGGCAGGTGGGGCTAGAGTTAGCAACTACAATCCCTGGAAGGCTATTGCTTTGGGTTTCCCTATTTTCTCTCATTCTTTACGTGTCTTTGTGGGGGAAGGTCTTAATACGTACTTCTGGGAGGATACTTGGATATGCGACAAACCCTTGTGTCTTGCTTTCCCTCGGATCTACTTTCTATCTGATAAGAAACTCCTTTCAGTGGTCGAGGTTTTAAGTTCTGCAGAAGAGGGTTTGTCCATCTCTTTGGGGCTCACCCATTCCTTGACTGATCGGGAATCGTCAGAGTTTTCGAATTACTGGATCAGCTATCTAGAGTTTTCTTATTTGTTGGGAGGGATGATGTGAGGGTGTGGACCCCCAATCCTTCGAAAGGTTTTTCTTGTAGCTCCTTTTTCCATATCTTGAACTCCTCGTCGTCCTCTTCTTCTTCTCCGTCCCTGTTGACCCCTTGGTTCACCTCGCTTTGGAAGATTAAAATTCCAAAGAAGATTAAGTTCTTTGGGTGGCAAGTCTTACTTGGAAAAGTTAATACCTTGGGTCGGATCCAGAGGATGTCCTCCCTTTGTTTGGGTCCATAATGGTGTGTTCTGTGTAAGAATGCTTCAGAGGATCTTGATCATTTGTTGTGGTCTTGTCAGTTCGCGAATGAGTTATAGCTTCGTTTCTTTAGATTTTTTGGAATTGTTTGGGCCCATTCTAGAGATTGTAGGGCGATGATGGAGGAAGTATTGTTATTCCCCCCGTTTCTAGACAAAGGACGTTTTCTTTGGCAAGCGTGTTTTCTGGCTACTCTATGGGGTATTTGGCAGGAGAGAAACAATAGAATTTTTAGGGAAGTGGAGAGATCTGTGGATTATGTGTGGGATCTTATTAGATTTAACTCTTCTCTATGGGGATCAGTCACTAAGGCTTTTTGTAATTATCAGTTAGGAGTCATACTTTTGGATTGGAGCCCGTTTCTTTAGGGGTTTCCTTTTGCTGGGCTGTTTTTTGGTATGCCCTCTTATTGTAGTCTTTATTCATTTATCTCAATGAAAATGTTGTTTCTTATCGAAAAGAATTAAGAATGATCTCTGGCTAAAACTTTTTAATGGTGGAAGTGGAAGGCTTTTTATTTAAGATAGATGAAATTTGGCGGACAATGGACATAAATGTAAGAAAGGGGAAAACTTGATGCTTTGCTTTTTGTTCAGAATTGATATTTATGATGCTGAGAGGAAATGAAAGTGAATCAATGACAACCATGAAGACCATCTGTACTGATATTTAGGATGCTGAAAGCAAATGAAAGTGAATCAAAGATCAATTTTGGATGGCAACTCAAACGCGAGGTTGACTATTACTCTTGCTAATTTTTGTTATCTTATTTTCACTAAACGAGTAGTTATTAGTAAACATTAAGAGTAAATGTACTGTTAAATGAATATTAGTGGTGGCGGATTTGTTCATTTTTTGATATGTTTATATATTTGAACGTTCATCTCATTGTCATTGGAGCGGGTGTTAGATATTCAAAACAACTTGAAATAGATTTAGGTTCCCATATATATTAGTTAAAATAGTATTAGAAAAATAATTTTCTATACATTTTATTTTAAGAAAAAAACGTAAAATAAAAAATAGTTATCAAACACCTATTTGATTTTTGGTTTTTGGTATTTTTAAAATGGAAAAGAAAAAATGGATATCAAACATGTTTGATTTTCTGTTTTTAAAAAACAAGAAACCAAAAACCAATTATCAAACATATATGGTTTTTGTTTTTTAAAAATAGAAAACAAAAAACAAAAAACAAGAAAAACCAAAAACCAAAAACCAAAATCAAAATCAAAAGTAGAAATGGTTATCAAACGGGCCTTTACTAATTAGATATGGAAGTTGTTAGGGAGAGTTGTTATAAATATAGTGAGGGTGTAAGAATGAAGGTATCCAATTGTTTGATGTGGTTTAAGCTTGGAGTGATATCTCAAGAGGGGAGGGTCCAAGTACCTCTAATACTTGGGTTATATTGTAGTTCTTCTACATTTTATATTTCAATATATTGTTAGTTGTTCGGTCCTAGCTTCTCGACATATATGGATATTATCAGGAGGTTAATTCGGATGCCTTGTGTGAGAGTCTTATTAGGGGTATAGGAGAATATTATTAGTTGTTAGTGAACGGGTATTATTGTAATTAGATTAGGGTGTGAGTATGTTATAAATAGGAGTAGGAAGGAGAGGAGAAGGATATCTTGGGGAATTGTATTTTGGTAAGGAACTTGAGAGAGTTCTTTGGGAGAGAGATAGCCCTCTCGAAAGGCTATCAGTTCTTGTATTCAGGTACCTAAGAAATTGGTATCAAGTTCGTCCTGGCCATGAATCTGAATCTTTCATTCGAGACAGTTACGAGGATATGGAGATTATTGATAGGAATGGAGTTGCAGAAATCGTTGAGAGAAATGACGAAACGTTCAAATGAAATGATTCGAATCACGGAAGAAATGCAAAAGAGATTTACTCTTAGAGAGGAAGAAGAGAGATCAAGGAAGGAAGAGGCAACGACAAAGAGCATTCAAAAGCAGGGACGAAAGATTGCTGGAAGCCGACGATCAGACCCGAGAATGTGGACTGGAGTGCAATGGAAATTCAACCGCAGAGGGAAAGTGGCGTCGTGCAGCGATTCACTGAGAAAATTGGAGAAAAATTACCCTCAACCGAATATGAAGATGCTAAGGAAGAGAGGATGAAGGAAACACCGACCACAGAAGATCGAAAAGGGGGGATGAAGAAGAAATTGAATATCCAAAAAGAAACGGCAAGAGTC